GTTTGCTTTTGAAAATTTGGATTAAAAATTGTATGTTTTAAATATTGAACTCGTAAAATAAGTTACTGTAATCAAAAGTAATAAAAGCAATAATTTTAATATTAATAGGCCTAATATTAATAATAATAATAATAATAATAACAATATTATTAAATGTTATTATACTGGTAGGCTTTCATTATTACTGTATTGATTTCAATTCAATTCGATTTATTTATTCATCAAGTTATAATCACTACAAGTTGATTAATACAGCAATAGTCCCAGGCCCGTAACCGCGTTCATGAGATAGGGGTTTCCTATGTCAAGTTATAACTCAGAAGTGTTTCTTAAATAGAAAAATGTTACGATAAAATATCGCTAGAGTAGTAAAGAGTTCAAAAAGGAGGGTTCGACTGAACCAACAAAACCACCTGGTTACGAGCCTGAGTCCTAAATGATACCGTAAGTGAAAAGGTATAAACAAACAAGCATAATTATGTTTAATACGGTACATATGTAATCTCAAAGAAAAATTATAAAAAGTAAACGCACATACATACGCAAACAAATACAATAATATACATTGCATATAGGCTGGCCTACAAACTTTCCCGCAACAATCAAGTTATATACTTAACAATTTTGAAATCCTCTTAAAACATTTTGACTTTTCACGTACACTTTTAATTTGGTTTGCAATGAGTGATCATATTGTTAATTTTCCAATTAATTTTCTAATGATCATGCAGGAATTATAGACCAATAATGATCGGGCTCATCGATCGTTTTAATTAAAATCGCTTCTGAAGATTACCTAATCATCAACATTAATCATCTTCATTACCACGATCTTGTAAGTTGTACATATATTTCCATGACTAACTCAAAAACGTTACGAGAGTGACATTATCGCATATTGCGCATTTTAACAGGAAAACGGGACTAACACAAAAGAGCGACTTCAATTTTTTAGTGTTTAATTAGAGCCTAATTAATATTATGAGGTAGGCATTTGTTACGGAATTCTATACATGGATTTCAACTAATGTACAAACTGCGCTTGTTTCTTATTGCCTGAAGAATGCATTGTGTCTGCTGGCATTAACAAATAATACATAAGTGGTAAAAAATGACTAAGTGCTTTTGATGTTTCTCGATTGGAGTATAAAATTAATAATTCGATGCCTATCATGTAATTAAGTTTATGTGTGAAATGAGTAAATGAAAATGATCCAGAACAGAGAGAAAACATTCGTTTTGAACGATGTCTTTCATAACCACACTCTCAATCGTGCTATACCATCATGTCATATCATATCATACGGTAACATATCTTATTATATTATACCATATCATAACATATCGTATTATATTATATCATATCATATTGTATCATCACACCAAATCATATAATACCGGTATCGTATTCTATCATAACATATCATAGGCCTATATATATATATATATATATATATATATGTGTGTGTGTGTGTGTGTGTCATACATCATTTATTATTCTATCGTATCATATCATAATCTATCATACTATAGGCCTATCATAAGGCTCTGTATCATATACATAACATTTATCTTATATATCATATACCATAAAATATAATACAATCATATTATATTTATATCATACAATCAAAATTAAAATAATTCAAATGACAATAAACCCATCCCAACCCACATCCGCCCCTTTAATTAATTTTGTACAATGAAATAGTTCTAGAGCTTTTTTAGGTTAAATACCAGTACCATATTTCATATAATGCTTTGACCTATAACTTTACTGTACAATATTTTAGCGTTTATCCTCAAAATACGCAAATTATACTTTGCATAATCTTCTCAGAAGATCTATTCAACAATAGAAACAATGAATCCGATTGGAAGCATTTCGACAGAAAATCGCTAATAACTCGCAATATCGCGTCCACAATACATTTCTTTTTCTTATATACTCATTAAGTTTTAAATAAAGGTGATTCGTTACCATCATCAGGCCTCATCATACGCGTACCATCACTCGTTGTGTCTTGATGTATTTTGACACAATATACCGCATTATAATTTATACACTTTATTAAGTATTCTAGCGGTGATGAAAGTCTGTTAATGAAGCCTAAATGTTCCGGCGGTCCACAGAATGGTACAATATTATATTTTGAGTATCCTAAATAAACACTAATGAAGCAAAATCATGGAATAATAAGTTATTGGAAGATTTACTCTGTATGCCTAGAAGTCTAATATATCGGGAGGGACGTGCTCTCTTCTTCAGCGTAAAGCCTACTGAATATAAAATCGTAGTTGTAACATAACAAGAACAAAATAATCAATAGGCCTATACTGCGCGGTAAGCGGTCTCGCCCACGCAAAAGGCCCATACACATATACTATTATAATATATATATATATATATATATATATAACGTAATATAATATAATATATATTGTATATAAATAATTTATATTTGCCTCAGTATGTCTTTATTATACTACTATATATATATATATATATATATATATATATATACATATATATATATATGACATATAATATAATATAACATATTTATAGATTATAAATAATTTATTATTGCCTGAATATGATATGTCTTTTGCACCTAGTTATTCCACTGATAGCACGAGACATAGAAATGTCGGTAGATGTTTCATTTACATTTTAACCTCTCCAGTTGGTCTCTCTTATACGATGCAGCAACTTTACATATTCTATTTATAACTTGTTTTCGTATTTGAATGAGCAAGAAGAATATTGTCAAATGAGTATAGTAAATATTGTAATACAAGTATAAATAAATTATTAAAGCACAGCATAATAAGCATTATAGTATAACATAAAAAAGATAAGAAAATTATAATATTAAATAAATAATTACCACAAACAAAGAAACCGCATATATTTAATAAATTTATATCTATGATTGTATTGCACACGGCTAAATAGCTAGCCAGGCTGAATAGCCAGCTAGGCTCGCTCGTCAACCTTGACCCACTAGAGACTCCGCCTGCAAACTTGTATCTAACGCTTCTTTCCTTGTCCATCCGATGGCCAACTAATTGTTGAATTAATTAATAATTGATTGTGAGGATATACCGGGATTTGTCCATAGGCCAAGGTTGTTGCACAATGCTAATCCATACAGCACAAATGGAAGCAGTAATAATAGACTGTTGTGTTTATAAGGGTTGGATTATGGAAAGATGAAACAACAGCAATCAACTAGTGGTCACTCAACGCAGATATTTGTGTTTTTAATGGGTTAATTTTTTTAATTGTTTCATCATACCATAGAATCACAATTATATAGAATCATCACATACCGTTTTCCCTCAGTGTTTATGCCAGGTTAAAATAGATGGAACACACCGATATATAGGCAAGCAATATATTATTATTATTATTATTAGGCCTATATTATTATTATTATTATTAGGCCTATTATTACGACAATTCGAGTTTATCTTTTATAGGACTATAGGCCTACCAAGTGTTGAATCTTTGTTCAAAAAGTATCTTTTCGGAGATCTCGCCTGGCCATCTATAATACTTCAGAAATGGGCGTATTAGTATTCGTAGTCGGAGTCGAAAACTAGCGTTACTTCACGCATGTGCAAAAGGGTTTGAAATCGCGGCCCTATCGGAGGCTTTGTAATTAGAGTGTCACATTCATACAATTTATTCGAATCCCGTAACACTAACAGTTAAAGAGACAGACTATGATGAAAATATTAATTCTACTGTTGAAAACTGGTAGCTTAAACATACAGTAGGCCTACAATATAGAAAATTTACACAAAAAAATTATACATATATACATACGAATATATAGACAACTTAAAGGTCAAAATCTATTTATATATATTTTTATAGCATCACCGCAAGACGACTTAGAGTTGGTGCATAATATTCCCGCAAAACGTAAAGGGAAACTATTTAAAATCCTATCTGGAGTTCTTCTGTTATAGATGGCGACATAGAAAATACTGCAAAGTGACGTGCCGTATTACCCATTCGAAGAAATAACGCCGAGGTACCAACACTTATTAGCGTCACTTTATCGTTTGAGGGCGATATAGAGAATTTCTTTAGTACCTGTGGAACACTTCTCTTGAATAAAAAAAAAATGCTAAATTTAGCATTTCGAATATTCATAAATTACTTGCACACAGTAAGTTTTACGCAACACTGCTAACAACTGAGATATCATAAATTTCCAAATGATAATGACAATGTTTATAACGTCATATGTTCCTAAAATATTCAAGCAAGAATAAATTGTTCTGCGGAGAACCATCAGGTAGAATTTAAAAGACTAGTACAGTATAGTCGGGTGGCATGAAGACTCGAATGAGGCTGAACTTGGAAAAACATTAATGACACAACATGTGGCTATTTTGGCGGCCATTTTAAAATAAGTACTCCTTGTATACCCTGACCCACCTGAAAATACGTGTATGTATATGTGTGGGTTTGTGTGTGTATCTGTATATGTATGTGTGTGAATATATATATATATATATATATATATATTTGTATAATTATATATATATATTTGTATACTTATATATATAGATGAAAGAAATAGTCGGAGGCTTGGATGGAATAAAACGTGTATTTAAGCTTTCGAGCTTACACTCTTCATCAGGATCTAAGGTACAAAAAATGTACATGTATAGTTTTTGTTTATAATAAAATAATTGCATTTAAATACCTAGTAGTCTCCTGATTCTTAAATTTTTTTTGACTAGCAAAGGTTGAGATAGATATTGACACTGACCATTTCTAATATCACAATTTGTTAAATGTGCGGCGGGTTGTCCTGGTTCCTGGGAGATTTGGGACCCCTGAATTAAAATCCATATGATTGCGGCCTGACAACCATCTTTGGCTAGAAAACCCCTTGTTTACGGCCCAACACCGACCATCTGTAAGAAGTAATACTCCCTTTCAACAAAAAACCAAGAAAACAATCAAAAATCAAATAATATAATTAAACTTTTTAATTTTAATTAGATAAATGCATAAAGGAAACATTGACAATGTTGTCATCGCAGCTGATTGAATTCTAGAAACTTAACTCTCAGATTACCATACACTTTGATCACATCTGAGATATTTAAAAAATCAAATTAAGAAAAATTAAACAATAATATCGATTAGTTGAGCACCAAAGAACTATGCTGGTATAGGTCAAATGTTACTGAAGAACAAAAAAAAACTGCTTAAAAATTGTGTTTAACATCTGGGAAAATGAGATTGGGCATATTCCACTGGTTCATTTCATTGACTACGATTTTTCGTTGAGTATTATTTTCATTCGACTGGTTCATAAAATAGACTTCGTTGACAACGAAAAATAACGTTAACCAGAGTGTGTTAATCAGCGTTAACGTATCCATGTGACCAAAATAAACATGGCCAATTGGTGAGTTTAGAAACGACATTTGCGTTAATATTATTTAGATTAAATTTCAGAAAATAAAAATTATAAGTGTAGGCTAACAGAATTCAAAAACTGGATGAAAATATTTCTTTTACGAAAAACCCATACTGCCACAAGCTGAGGCAATCTTGACTACGTAGTGTAACTATGCAGCCATTTTGTTTTGTTGTGTATTTACCAGTTTTCTATTCTACTGATCGTCTTTGTTAAGTAGGATTTTACCGCTGCGCAGGTGGGCGTGGTTTAACGAAGAACGACCAGTCGAATACAGCCATTTAGACAGCTAAGCACTTTGCAGACTATCAAATTTTACTTGAAATAACATGTGACATGCCTAAATATGGTCATGATGATATCCCATCATGACCATATATAGGCACATCATGACTATATATGGGCATTCAAAGAAAATTTGATACAGCTTAAGCTTAAATCTGCTCGATCACCCTCTCCCAGTCACTGTTATTCATCCAGTTCTAATTACAAACAAAATAATAATTAAAACAGCTTGTTGAATAAGTAACAATATCAACATCAATTTAACAACCGTAAGTATTAGGACATATTAATACCAGTAGTTTTTATCGCTTCACTGCAAATAAAATATTTTTTTTATACGAATTTCCACTCTTCTATATATTTACAGTGTGATTATATACATACAACTTCATGTACAAATAAAAGAATGTCTTAACATGAAATGAAGTCAACATATCACTTTTAATTTATGGTTGAAGAGTGAAAACAAATTTCTTTAAATTAAAATTTTTTTCCACTTGATAACAAATCTTAGTCAAAGGCTGAGGCTTTGTCTACACTATCAAATTGTATGTGATGATGTCATATTACACTCATGTGCACACATCACATTTATTTTTAAAACACTGAAAAACTATTATTTAAATCCCAAGCTCCATATCTCCCGCCTATCCGCTTTTCATACACTCCCGGCATCAAAGACTTATGATGGTAAAATTGTGGCAGATATAAATGCTGTAACTGGGTAAGTAAAGACTTTACTTCAGCTGCTATAGTGATATATGTTGAGGTATACTTGAAAGAAGGGTTGATGGTTTTTTAACACTGAAATTCAGAAAGATAATACACAGTAGGTTAAAATGAATATGAAATACTTCTGTTTTTAAACATGATTTTAATGTTCCTGTAATCAAAATTTTTTTACAGTGCTACCCTTTCAGCAAGGCTGATATTAAACAACAGTTCTTCTGCCATATTGATTCAGTGATATGGGATTACAGTAACAATTTATACTTAGAAACCAGGGCTGGAAAAAGTGTGCGACCGGCAGTCGGAAGTATTGCCCATTACCCCGGAGACATTTTAGAAAAAAAACAACAACATTTTTTTGTTACACATCACAATTAAATGCATACCGGTAATTCAATTTGATATTTATGCTTACTCCAAACCACTAAATTTAAATTTACTACTGTTTAGCTATAATAATGTGCTGGAGGCAATTGATCAAGTAATTTTCATGGTTGGAGGCACAAAAATATTTTTTCCAGGCCTGTTAGAAACTATGACAGGCTTATTTCCTCTCGACTCGCGACAACTTTTCTCGCTGCGATTGTCTATGTCACAGGGTAGTGAGTCTGGGCAAACTCCCTAGTTTGTTGTACAGAATCAAAAAAGTGGGTTAACAAAAAGAGGTATCTTTGTGTAATAAAACTGCTTTAAATGAAAAGATCGGCTGAATTTGATAAATTTTTCCTTGAACGGTTATAGAGTGCAAATCTTAAAGTCGTCCATTCATTCCAGTTCGCAGTGCTCCTTCTGCACTATCACGGTATATATAATAAAAAAATTCAAACCAATTTAAATATTACAAAAAATAC